CAAAAGTAGCAATTCAGCAAAATCAATGACTTGATGCAACAAGCTGGGTTAAGATACTAAGGCCCCGTCCACACGAAGTCAAAACGAACACGAAACGCTGATATTTTCCAAAACGTTTGCCGTAAAGACGGTGACGTAAAATAAATGTGAGCGTCCACACGAATGCATGAAAACGCTGCAAAATGTATGCCAGGCCTGTAAGTGGCGCTGTGGTGCCAAAGCAAAAATAAGCGACGAAATGTTGGGCATGCGCACTAATATTTATACATGGTTGCCCTGCGGGTCCATTTTCGTGGTTAAGTCAAATTCAGGTGCTGAACTATGTCGTCGATATTGCTCTGTTCTTCCTGGAGATATTCCAGAAGAAGAAGATTCTGTTGTAAGCCCGACAGCAGGGTGAGTAGCATTAGCAGCAACGGCGCCATTGTTGTTGTGATACTGTGTCGCGCATGCGTGTTTAGAGGCGACGCTATGACGCATGTGTGTAAAAAAAAAATGCGGTTAGGGCGTAAATATGGAAACGCGAAAACGGCGTTTCGAAATCTTCCCACTCTGAAGGCTGAATAAAAAAAAGATCGTTTACAGACCCCCGAAATGCCGGCTTCGTGTGGATGAGAGGCTGGTTTGGTGAAAAATTTGTGCGTTTAGGCCAGGGTTTGACTTCGTGTGGACGGGGCCTAAGAAACACAAAACTTTTAACCAATCTGTCTATAATTTTATTGAGCTGACTCTGTACATTGCCTTTAGATGACATACTGTAAAGCGGTCCTAAATAAATAAACTGATGTGATTTATGCTGCATTCAGGTTTAAGTTGAGCTTTGTTGTCCTTCGCTACACTCGCTAACCTCCACCTGCAAAATAAAAGCCTGGTTTAAGGTTTTACCTTCATATTTTGATTTAATTAACAACATTTGTGAAATTCTAAGCCTTGGTCTTGGTCTTCTTGGTTGAACCAGTTTTGGCTTCATCCCTCGTTTGTGTCTTAGCATCATTTATGTATTTTATGTGCGCTTTTCTTAACTTGTTGTCATGGCTCAGAACAGAGGACCCAGCATAAAGGTCAAGACAGACAATGGGATAATTCGAAAAGCGTTGTTAATTAAATAAATGGGCTGCAGATCTGCAGTAGTAGTGGCTAGGGCGTCTGAGACAGGAAACTCGGCAGGAGAAAAACACAGATTAGTGACCACAATAATCTGACGGAGGATGATATGAATGCGTGAGTCACTAAGCATGGTTTAAAGTAAAGTCTGTGTCGAGAGAACGAGGTTGATACCACCCAGACAGCTGACAAGATGCAGCGATTGCCGAACAGAGAGTTCCAGACGCCGAAGCCTTGAAGATCAAAGATCTGACAGGAGATCAGATCCGAGCAGATAAAGGAAGGCAGGATAATCATGAGGGTGAAGTCAGGAGGCAGATCCAGGTTCAGTCCACAAGAAGAATCCAACAGGAGTCCGGAGACAGGACAGGCAAACATAAAATTCTAACACAGAAGGTTCAAGAATAACCTGGCACTGATGACTGGGAGCAAGCAGTTTAAATAGAAGCTGGGCAGAGTTAGGCAGGTGAAAGAAATGACCAATCAAGCCAGTCATCAGCGGCAAGATCATGACACTTATTCTTTCTACTAACAGCATTTTTCTTGGCATGTATTTAATGTGGTTATGTGTAAGTCTCTTTTTGGTGTTTGCTAGTCTATTTTTTCAGTATTTACGTGGCATTTGCACTCTATGGCCACCATTTAGTTTGACCCCCAATAAACAATCATTTCTTTGAACAAAGATGGATTCAGGATCACAGGTGATTCGGTGCAGCTGAGTTTTCTGTCCAGTATACATAACCGGCAGCGTTATTCAGCAAAATGCATTTCCTCTGAGGCTGATTTGCATATCTCCTTCTTAATATAGAACTATTAGAATGTCAAATGACATAAACAAAAAGGTCAATATTGCTTCCTGGGTTTAACACTGGATGGTCTTATCTAGTCTTCTTTAAATATCGTTGGTGAGACTCAGACAGCTGAGCTCTGTGATTGATTTATCTTACTTTGCATAAAGGTGAAATGATCAAAGAGCCTCATCTCATGACAGAATGAAATGTCCCTGAAAGGAAGTAAGCAGGGCACAGGTTGTGTTAGAGTAGATCAAATTCAGGTGGACAGTTTTCCTGTCAATGAATGACTTTCTTTGTACAAATGCAGATTCTTCTCATCCAGGAGATGAAGGATCTTAAGGCCACATATCTGCTTGGCAGCAGAGCCAAGGAGTGTGGGTGGGACAGGGGTGCACTGAATCACCACGCATGGTTTTGTCTGCAGTATTGATTTTTTTGTGCTTCTGTGTCTGTGTGTGCTTAGATATTGTGAGTGTAGGTTAGATTTCCATTCTTGCTGGTGGTGGTTGTATATCAGCTCGAAGTCCATTCTGCTGGGTTGAATCTCCCCCAGACTCCAGAAAAAGATAAATACTAATGTGAGTACAGAACTGGGCCCATTCAACCATCAGGCTATGGTTGTGGGCCAGAACATGTACAGAAAAGTATAAACTGAAAATTAAACTTATATGAAACCCTTTTTTTTTTTTTGAGTTTTTACGTCACTAGTCAACCTATTCTCATTATGAGTGCGTATGAAATCGTACGAAAAGTTATGCACCGTAATTTTGTACGTTTTGGACGTTTTTTCGTTGTATGCGCATGCGCATCTGACCCACCATTCACGATTATAGAATACTGTATAAATTACAATTAGCCCTAACCCTGACCCTACACCTAACCCTAAGATATAAAACAGCAAGCAACGTAGTTAGAGACATGAATAAGTGCTGATTGCACTGTTTTTCCCATTTTTACGTCCGTCCGCGGATCTGCTTTTTTTTTCTGTCTGCCAGCGCATGCGCACTGATGTGGTTTTTTTGAGGAAAAACGTCCAAAACGTACGAAATAGTGTGCATAAGTTTTCGTACAATTTCATACGCACTGATAATGAGAATATGTATGAAAGGGGTATGAGAGAGGGGGTGTCGGGTTCTTTGATAGGTTTTTTCTTAAGAAGAACTGAAATACAGACTTATCGATACTATTCCTGCTGGAAGGAGAGACAGTTGAACCCCAGACTCAAACATACTGTCTCCCACTGGCCCTCCTCTGCAGAGAGTTTATTAACAGAACCTGACACATGGTTATAAACAGGGTATTGTTCTGACAGAACAATTGATCAGTTCATGAAGACAGAATGCTCCATCAGAATGACAAGGCAGGATGGTCTCCTGACTGGATCATGAGACAGGAGTGGAGCATCCCCTCGCACAAATGTTTCATAAGCACACATTAATTTTAGAATCATTATTGAATAAACCTAACAGGGGGAGAGACATGTGGCAAAAGACCATAGGTCAGATTCGAACCTTGGTGGGCCACGTCGATGAGTAAGGCCTCCGTACATGGGTTGTGCGTGCTAAGTGCTGCGCCACCTGCACACCCATATTAAACCTTTATGAGTTAATTTCATACTGATTGTCTTCTCAGTAGTAAACGATGGCTAAGTTGCTTTCTAGGATAATCAGTCACATTTATTTTCCTATGCTTAGACATAGCAGGCTTAGATTATTCTATAATGTCCTTGAGTGCAGAAATCGATTGAATAAAATTCAAACGTCTAATTTAATAATTCATTTGTCACTGTAGGGTGAGAAGACAGCTTAGTCTAGTACTGGTTTTAGGACAAAACAAAGTGTAGCACATATTGCTGGGGGGGAAAGGGAGATGCAGCGCAAAGGAGAAGATATTAAGAAGTATTGATGCAGTATGAATTATGTATTAAAGGTATAGTGGAGGATTTTCACAAATTTTCGAAAAAACCCGCCCTCTCCACTTTGAAAAAAATGCACATGCACAACCCTGTACCCACTCCGGACAGGGAACGCCTATTAAACCCATTTCTCCTATTGCACGTTCTGTTTAAAAGTTTCTGTTTGCATCGCTCATAGAAGCTTACTTTCCAAAAGAAGATTTGCAATTTTTCCACTATGTCTGACTCACCACAGGTACGTGAAAATGGGGATGACAAGGTAGGACGGCCTTACGTTAACACACTGTATCACCAGAATGATTGACAATTACGATTACCACTTATTTTGATGATCCACCCGAGAAAGAAAACATCCTCCACTATACCTTTAGGGTATAAATATTCGTTATTTTCTACTAGTTACAGCAGGACATGGCTGGGGTTCAATTAACAATTATTTTGTCCTGACCCAGGGATTATCTGCTGGACTGTGTGTGAGTGGGTGTGTGTGCACGCAGGGCGGATGTATGAACATCATCATCACTATCAGATCCTCCTGCATATAACATCCTGACATTAGTGGTTTATTGTTATGAATAATCTGTAATAGCTTCCAATCATTTCCTCTTCCCTCTCCTGCTCTCTCTCTGCCACTCTATCTTTCTTTTGCCTCTGCCTCTCCCACAGCTTTCACTGGGCATTGCAGTAACTTTCACAGCATGAGTTTGGCCATTTATTTTTTATGTAACACACATTGCTAATTTTAAAGGTGCAAATTACACTTATATCTCTGATTTTTAGTTTAATTCTTTGTAGGTTTGCCCAGTTATAAAGATGAAAAGTAAAGTTTTCTTACATTATTAGTTGAAGAGTTTCTACAGCTTGCTTTTGAGACACTTACAGGATAGAAGTTCATCTAAGTTGAGAATTATTTGTGTTGTTAGCTTAGCTAAAGATGATTTTAACTTTGTTCATGGGTACAAAGAAAACCATATAAAGCTACAGGCTCTGTTCACAGACTAGACAAACTGCCTCCAAAGCCATAGATCCTGCGTTCAGTGTTTGTGTGTGCATGGTTGATGGATGTTGATGCACTTGAGAGAGGCTGATTTGTTCCTCTTAGGATCCCATAAACCTGTATGGCTGTTGCCCACACACAATAAACAAGGGTAACTGAGGAAGAATCATGTGTTTCTGTGTCTGTGTAGGTTCGGAGGTTTGGCACCCCATGTGTAAAGAAGCAGCTCGGCTGGAGAGAAAACTGAGGGTGAGTGATACTAGGAGTATCTCCAACCCCCTGCCCTTCCTATCTATTTCTTTGCTCCATATTCTCCTAGTCAAAATGTGTTGTTCATGCTTTCTAAGCCTCGGTGGTTCATTTGACTTCATCATGAAGTAATGATAACCATGCGAATCATAAGATAAGATAATATGCTGACAACCTTTATATAAATATATATCTTATAATTATATGTTATTTTGATCAAAGAGTTACTTTAATTCCTGTAAATTTACAGAGTTCAGTAAGAGTCCACAGTTGCATAAAGTTACGGAAAGATATTTGTGTCCCAGAGGTTGCTGCAGTATGACTAGATCTCAGACTTGGCAAAGTTCTTTATGCCCGATGCCCATCCTGGCACACCCAAACCCAGGTCCCCTGGATCGGGTCACGGTCATAGATATAAATCACCTCGCCATAGAGACTCCATTAAGTTACAGAAAGATAAACTGTAAAAAAAACAAACAAACAAACAAAAATAAACATAAGGGGAATGAGAACCTAAACGGAGAAAGGTAAAAAAAGAAAGGCACATAACAGTGCCAATACATCTGCTAAACCTCAATCTCTTTAAAAAAAATACAAATTAATCTGAAAACAGGACTTCATGTTACTCCCAGACCAATTAATAAGAGCTGGAAAATAACAAATCAAAATGAAGTCAGAAGCTGGTGGTAAACACACACCCACATGATGCCACCTTTTGTACACAGACTCAGTGTTTACATAGCTGACCGACAAAAGTACAAATACTTCGTTACTATACTTAAGTACACTTTTTAGGTACCTATACTTTACTCCATTACTTATTTTTCTTCCTACTTCTGACTTCTACTTATTACATTTTCACACAAGTATCTGTACTTTCTATTCCTTATATTTTTAAAAACGTTACTCGTTACTCTTGGATTCGGTTTAATGTTTATAAATATTTATTTCACGTCATGTGCTCCATCCAATGCCGATCATTGGCGCCATCCACATCTAGTGAAAACTAATGTAATTGGATGAGTCATATAACGCAAACACTCATTGGTTGCTAAAGAAAATCACCAGAAGCAAGCAGGTGTTCTTCAAACTGCAAACGTGAATTGTCTATGCCATGCTACAATGTCGGATTCAGAAAAAGATGTTGAAATGTCTGAAAGGTCGGACACAGGGGCGAGCGTATCGGGAGATGGAGACCAACAAGAACTCCCTCATCCTTGGCCCTATCTCAAAGAATTTTTTGAAATAGTCGAAATTTTCAATTCATATAGTGGCGTCTGGCTGTTTCTTTTTTATTTTAATTTATACTTTTTGTAGTACTTTTGTTACTTTTTTACTTTTACTTGAGTAAAGAGGTCAAGTTGATACTTCAAATTTTACCAGAGTGTTTTTAAACTGCAGTATCTATACTTCTGCTTAAGTAACAAATGTGTGAACTTGTGACACCACTGCTGACCGACTCTGTGTGTTAAAGTCTCTCATGTTCATTGTCTGTTGTTTGGTCCACCAGCTGAGACGAACCTCTGAGACTGCATCCACTTCTCCATCAGGTTCCTCTCCGCTGCTTGGCTCCCCTCACCGGCTCATCTGTGTGAGTATCTCCCATCCCAGGGCTTCAGAGGTTCCAGCTTGTACCGTCTCTGTCACAGCTGTCCTTCCAATGTCAGTCATACAGACACATTGATATCTCTCCCTGTGCAACTATCTGTATGTCTGGGATTGTTTTGATTAAACTCACTCATCTCTAGTTTTCTATTTAAGACAATTTTGTGTCCTTGTGTGAATGTGTGTGCATCCTTATGTTTCCCTTACAGTCTTTAGAGCTTGTTATACTTCCACAGCAGTGTGTCGCAGTGAGCTTGTCAGAGGTACGATGCAGATATTTTTGATTTATGCCCAATTTTTGAAGCGTGGTCTGCGATATGTTATTCAACGCCGCAACACAACAGGGACTATCAAGATTTAGCTGTAGGTCTAGATACAGCCGAGGTGTTGAGGAAGTGGAAAAACACAAGGGGCAAGTTTGTGCGACAACAGAGGTGCGAAAAAGAGCAGGGATCCAGGTGGAAAAAGGGTCCCAGCATTCTCGCGCACCTCGCTCTTCTGGCTGGTCCGACTTCATGAGTCGTTTTCCACAATGGCGGTCATACAAACAAAAGAAGCTGGTAAAGTACCAAACAGGAAATACGGATAGTGTAGAGCGGATGTAGATTTGACCAATCAGGCCTCCTGTCTGTGGCACTGTCTGCGGTCACCTACAGTTTCGGAGAGGTGAAGCAGAGTGTCTGCAGAAGGGGTGGGGGCACATCTGCGTTAACTGCGACACACACACACACAGACGACCTGGTTTCTGATGTTTTAGGCTGCATGCAGCTGGAGGCTCAGCCCTGCAGATGATACCCCACAACCAGACATAATCCTTTATCAGGCTCACCATAGACACACTTAGCTCTTTAAAAGATGTTGTGGAGAGAAACAGCTGTGGAAGGATGCATACACACACACACACACACACACACACACACACACACACACACACAACACAACCTCGCTGCAGAAACTGTTGGTGACTGACCATAATTTAGATACTAAATAAAAATATTTATGTTTTTTTCTCCTTCTTTTCCAGTCCTTGGGCTCCTTATCACCATATTCTCATGTAAGTATACTTCAACCAGATATATTGGTTTGAATAATAATAGCCACTATTTGAAAATCATGTGACAGAAAGCGACTAGATGAGGATGTCACTATGACACATTTCCCAAACATGTCATTTTAATATACCTTTTAAATCTATTTATATTTAGATGAATCTCTCCAACTCCACAAACTAAAATACCAAAACTTATTTTTGTTGTACACAAATTCCATTGTTTTTACCCTCCATCTCTGTCAAATTTTTTGGATACTGTCTTCTTACCTTGAACTTGTCTTTACTGTTTTGAATTATGTTTTATTCGATGTTTGTTTAAAGGTTAGTTACTGTGTGCCTCGCTTTCCACATTATTGATTATTGCTGAGGTTATGTCAGTAAAATAAGGAAGAACAAGTAAAATATACAGAATATTATTTGATGTATAACCCATACATCCATTCAGCCATCTTCTCCAGCTTATTCAGTCAGGGTCGTAGTGAGGCCGGTTCCTATCTCTGGCAGTCTATCGGTGTGGTACACCCTGGACAGGTCGCCAGTCTATCACAGGACAACACAGAGATGCAGAGAGACATACAACCAAGCAAACACTTACACCTGAGGTGAATTTAGAGAAGCCAATTAATCTAACAGTGATGTTTTTCATCTGTGGGAAGAAGCCAGAGTACCCAGAGAGAACACACACATGCACATGGAGAACATGCAAACTCCATGCAGAAAGACCCCAGGCCAATAATCAAACCCAGAACCTTCTTGATGCAAGGCAGCAGTGCTAACCACTGCTCCACCGTGCAGTCGTGTTTTGATTCCCCTAAAAGTGATAGAATTTTTGCTATTTTCATTTTAAATTTGAGGTTTCCAGTACATTTTGTGGTCTACAATTAGACCCAAAAAGTGTTTTATATAGGGATTTTTTTTTATATCTAAAAAAGATCTGTATATATTTAATCCAAGGTATCTGTAAATTCCCATGTATCACATATTTGGTATTATTCAGATTTAATGACAGTCACTTTAAGGTGAACCACAATTTTATAATTGTATAATTTTGTTTAATCTTTATTTTCATATATATATCTGCTGCAATTCTCCCACAACAACTACTGAATATTGTTTTTGGACATAGGATTCACCCGCAACACAAATCTTGAATGGCATGTTTTCTCATCTTTTTTATTTTGAATAATGATTTCTGTGTTTGTTTTTAAGTTATTGTAATGAGCGTTCAGTTATATGACATTGATTGGCTAATTTTGCTCATTTTTCTTACAAGCTGATTTAATTTAATCAGTTTAAAAGTTTCAAAGTATTTTTATGTGATATTTAGGTTGGTGAAATGAGAAACAAATTGGCCTTATATTATATAAGTCTTTAAATCTGCCAGTTATCCTTGAGAAAGCTGTGCAAAAGTTTCCTAACAGAAAACATCTCTCTATGCTTTCTTTAAGGATATCTTGGACAGTGTTGAGTTAAGAAAGAGGCTTTCCTGCAGCTCCGCCTTCACGGAGTCTCCTGCACATAGTCATCATGGAGGATCCCCACTGCATTATTATCACCACGGTAACAAGCCCAACCAGTAAAGACTCACAAACAGTGAAAGTATCAGGTCCCAACCTGGCAATGCTTATAGAAACAGCTTTCAGTAGGTGTATTGTGATATAAGTGATGAGTACCTCAGGTACAGACATGACACTCATCAGATGTTCAGTCCCTGCGTCTCTCATTAGTCTCTGTTTTTCTGTTTGGGCCATTGATGCTTTGGCTTTCACTGCTTGACTGGGTTGACTGCAGGCAGTGAGAGTGGCAGAAGTTCACCTATTTATACTCAACCAGAGCCCAGGTGTGCCACACCCACCACCTCCACCTTTCAAGTTCCCAAGCATTTCCATGTCCCAGGTAGGCTCTGAAACATTCCCCTGACCTTTGACCCCCTTTCTAGACCAGAATGAGCCCCCTCTTTGTAAAAAGCAACTTTATGGGTAAAGATTTTCAAATGATTCTTCTCTGACAATCTGATGTCAGATTGTGCACACTTATATACATACACAGGCAAAAATAATGTAATCTCTTCTCCCCTCTTTAAAGAACCACTACTTTCGCTCCAGAGTCTTAGTTCCACCCACATAGCATAATTGAAAATGCTGGGGTAGGCGTGCCCAGAGGAACAGTATTTGTGTGGGGGCACTGGGTGTGATCTCCTGCACACTGGCACAGTGGGGGAAAAAAACATGGTAGCTGTGGTCAGATCTTTCTCCACTGTCTTCCCCAGAGGCAGAGGAAATGGGAAGGAAAGGGATGAGGCCGTACTGGTGGCTCGGAGATTCTCTCTGACTGCTCCCTCCTCCCACATTCGTTCTACTGGGGACCATAGCTGATAACTTTCATGTCTTGTGACCCATTGACAGAAAAAAAAAAAACAGTTGCCAAAATGATGATCTTATTTTAGACTAAAGAAATTATTCCTTGTTGTCCAATTTTGCTGGTTTGTCAAGCCAAACCCACAGAATTCCCAGGTTTGTTCCTAATATAGCAAGCCAGTAAGAACTCTCTATTCAAAGTGGAATTGTGCGAATGGTGGTCATGAAAGGTGCTGTCCAAAGAGTGCTAAAAGAGGAGCCTGTATGCTACCTAATATAGCTTCTTCAGCTTAAGGATCTTGCAATTTTCTGTTGGCTTTAAGGAATCCCACAACCCTTCGCATGGCATGACATATTCAGTGTGGGAGATGTGCAAATATACACATATCCATTCATGTGGGTTTCTTTAATGAAGAGCTTTGGAAGCATGATCCACTTGAATTACAATTTACTGCATTCAGATCAAGCTAGATTTTTTACCTTCAACCCTATAAAATGCAGCAACACTGCTTAGCCACCCCCCATGGCTGTATGTTGCTCAACATCATTCTGATATTTAGTGTTTATAGGATAGAAATGAACTGCCTCACCCAATATAAAAAAGGAGGAAAAATAGGTGGTTTCAAGAAGGCAGTTGTAAAGAATTTTATCAAAGGTCCCAAGAGTTAAGTGTTTTGATGACAAATATTCAGCAAATTTTAGATTTAATTTAGAAAAAGATTAGATCCTTTGATGTCTCTTGAGAAGAATCTTACTGATGTGGAGTTCTTGAATAATTTGCGACCTCCTTTATCTACCAGTTAGTGCAAGTTCATTTAATTTCCATGCTCCATCATCCTTTCTCTTTACAAATCAACCTCGTCCTTTAATCCATTTTCTCTTGGCTCATTTCCCTTTTATAGGCTTCATCCCTTCACTGAAAGCTTCACATTTGATTTCCCCTTGTCACTTCCTCTTCAGCCCATCTCTGTCCACCACATTCTTCTAGTTTTTTTTTTGTTTGCACATGGTTGCCAGCCCTGCATTAGCTATCATTTCATCCTCCACTACTAGAGCAAACAAAAAAAATGTATTTGGCACATGCTTTTATCCAAAGTGCTCCACTGTTCCAGATGCATGCATTTAGCCAGCATGGTCAGTTGGGAGTTGAAGCTTTCATGTTGGATTGGTGGAATCTTCTTTTCAGCAAGTTGAAATCCATACAATTATGTTTACATTTGTTAAATTGAGTTTGCTTGGCAAGAAAAATATATGGTGATTCATGATGACATATAAAATTTTGGATTTTCCCACATCAATACCAACAAATGAAGAAAATTGATTACGTTTTGCCCTCTTCTCCCTAATATGCTTTATGATCCACGATTGAACTGCTTTTATCCCCCCTTTATTTTCCTGCCTCTGTTTCTGAATGAGAGCTGCAAGGCTGGATAAATCACCCACTCTGCATGGCAAAAAAGGCTGGATGCACAATAGCATCTTTGCTACATCCAGTTTCCTTATACGTTTTTATGCATAAAATCCAGACTTAGGTTTTTCCACAGACTTTGGTCCTTTGGGCTCATTTTAGAACAGAAAATACCAAATTTCACTGTCAATTAATAGAAGTAATTTCCAGAATGGCAAGACTTCAAAATATAGAACCTAAAAAATGGAATAAAGGAAGGAAGGAAGGAAGGTGCTTGAAAATGAAGATATAAATAACTATAGCAGGAAGTCATACAAGGAAAAAGTCAAAGACTTGAAGAAGTAGCATAAGGAAGATTACAAGGATGAAATAAATGGATAGATGTGAGGATGAAAAGAATCTGCAAAGTAAGGACAGTTATATGAAAAAGGAGAGGAAGTAAGGCCACAAAGAAGGATGGTAGGATGGACACAAGGGTTCACAAAATTTCTAAACAATAAATAAAGATTGTGGGAATACAAATATTTCCCATCTTCTTTCATTACTCAAATCTATTTTGCTCCATCATTTTCCTAACAGTGTAGGAACTTGTTTACTAGTTTCTTAGCTCTACAGTGAGTCACTAAATATAATTTTGTTTTTCTCAGTGTCTGAAGAAAGTAACATTTACAGGAAACCTCCTATCTACAAGAGACAAGGTTAGTCAATTTCCCCTGTGTTTTACATTTTATTATCAATCTTATGTTGTTTTTTGTTTTTTTTCTCTGCTTGCTGATTATTTGGTATATTGTATTGAATTCTCAGCAAATTAAAAATATAACGTTTTTTCACCTAATGAAAAACAAAAACCTTTTAAATGCATTGTCTCTAAAGGGAAGTAATCAGACAAATCTATTTTACTGAAAGTCTGCACAGACCCGACTTACGTAGTAATGCACTTTTATCTTTTTAGTCTGCAAACAAGTAAAGCCCAGCTAATCTGTATGCGGCAAAAGCTAAATCATATTGTACGTCACATTGTCTTCGCATTACAAAGAACCTGCTTAGATACATAATCAGTGTTAATAATGGCCATTTATTTTACGAAATAAGTGAGCCCAGATAAAATAAAAAGTTTTTCACACCTTTTAAATATTTAAACATGTATTAAAAAGATTTTCAACACCCTTAACTATAAAATCATGCAATTAAACTTCAGGCAGAAAACTGTCAGCGGTTGTCAAATCAAGAACTAGATTAAAGATTCAGCTGGTGATTTAAGAGAGAAAACCAACTGAGAGAAGCGACGCTCAGCACGGGTTGTGTAGGCGATCCATCAGAGTGAGCACAGAAGCTGGGCCTGCAGAGTTACAGTTTCTCAGAAAGACCGCTGCATGATTTACGCCGTGCACCAAAATGCTGACTAACCTCTCTCTGGAGTTTGAGCTTTGTGATCTGGGTTGGATGGAATTTCAATTTGCAGCTTGAATAATTTTTTTCAAAGCGTTTTTTGCATTATGGCCTAATTATCATTATTAGATTTATATGCAGCCTCTTTGTACTGTGATGTTTGCAAGAAGGAGTGTATCTTTGGACTGTTTAACACTAACAGGGTCCAATGAAGCAACTTAAACTAACACATGACCTTTGCTGGCTGTCACATTGACTTCCTCTCAAATCCTTCTCATCACTTCCCTGAGACTAAAAAACTAAATGCCAGCAATAATACAATTCTTTAAGGATAAATAACTACTGATTATTGAAATAGAATCTGCTATCAGAGAATTTAAAAATTACTCAAAACTGTTTCATAACCATTCCTGCATTTCTTCCCCTGGTTCATTTCAGCTTTATTGTAATGCAAACCGTATGAGTAAGGGAAAAGTTTGAGGTATTTATTTCTTTACAATTTTCTCTTTTCTGTCTCTCCAATAGACGCTCCTGTCTCTCCAACTAACAGGATTAAGATCAATGAGAATCTCCTCAATTCCAGTCAGTTTTCCACCTCTAACTTCAACAGCCTTTATCACACAGACTCCAATTATTTCCCCTACAGTGGCTCTCCAAAAGGTACATCTCTCACAGTTTAACACCCAATCTAAAGGGAGAGTATAAATGGGAAGGGAAGATAAATGTATTCCAACACTTACTTATTAAATCCAGGAAAGATTTTTCCATAATAACCTCCTCCAACCCCCTTAAACCCTAAATACCTTGTAGAATCATCGTTTGTTTATGCATCTATCATCTTTGTCACCCTAACACTTATCATTTTATGCATTTTTGAGCTTTGTGAAAGCTCTCAACAACAGTCTGATTTGATTTATGATAAGTGTGGTAATAAATGGCTGTTAAAACTCTCCTTCAGTCACAAATCTCTTATTATGAGATGTTTTATTTTCCAATAAGTATGCATAAAGTGAAATTTTCTCTTCACATCAATGTAAAAAAAGCCCATAGACTTAAATTCTTAGAAAATACAAAGCACATAATAAGGATAAACTATTAAATTAACCCAAATTATAGACACACTTCGCCATAACTTCAACCCTGACCTGTTTGCTTTGTTTCCGAGCTTTACATTGCTCTTTGTTTTGTTATATTCTCTTACAAACCTCTGTGTGCTTCACTCAACTCCTGACAGTCTTATATTGCAAAGAGGTTGATCTCATTTAATTGTAAAATGACATCTAAAGTTAAACATTTAACTGAGTTTTGATAAGAGATTTTAAATAGAAAGATTTATATATAAATGTATACACTTATTTAAGTTTTTTATTGTAAGTATTTTTAAATATGTTGCCTGTTATAATCAATTCTCCCAAATAAATAAAGGATTTAGCATTCTCCCTTCCTCTTACTTGCCACATCATTTACCCTTCATTTCCTCTTCCACCTCCAGTGTCCAGGGTTAGGAGGTTTTCATCTGGAGGAGAGGAGGATGGATGGAATCAAAATATAAACAAGGTAAGAACCTAAGACTGCTTCCTCCTTTTATAATTTAAGAGAGTTTTAATATTTAATGAGAGAGATAATGAAATGCTTATTTCCAACCTCACCTTCTGGACACTGAATCAAAGTGATTCCTTTGTTTCCTTGTTCATAGTTATGGTTTCCCCCCCCTTTTCTAAGAAGACTAATCATGTTTTTCACAATGATATTAGCTGAATAATCATAATTATTACTTTAGTATATGATTTATGATTGATTTCTTTCATTTATTATTGTTTTCTAATATTGTTATTCGATCATAAAGGGAATTGGCAGGATGATCCTAAAAGAAGAGATGAGAGCGCGATCAGGGGTTCAGGGCAACAACCACTGGAGGAGCGCACGCAGCTCCCGGAGTAACAGCAAGGAGACCCTGAACAATCTGGAATACAGCTCCCTTAATGGCTGTAAGTCTCTGTGTTTAATAGTTATACTGTGTAATGGTGTCAGTAAGGGATTTTAAATCCTCTGCTAAAGCAAGAAACATTGCACCTATATGTGATTAGCTAAAGGTTGGCATGTTGTTTTCCTCTGTTAGTGTTTCTGAACGTTTTTTTTCTATTGATTTTTTCAAAAAGGCAGGTTTTATGCATTGTTTTGCTCTAACTTATTCTTCAGGATTTTCAGTCAAGGGTAAGGGTCCTGATTTTAACTTTCTCCTCTCTGTCTTTAATATATGGATCCTTTCTAACTATGTTATTGGATGATTTAGGTACTAAAACATCCATCCATCCATTATCTGACACACTTGTCCCCATTGGGGTCGCGAGGGGTGCTGGTGCCTATCTCTAGAGGCGGGGTACACCCTGGACAAGTTGCAGTCCATCACAGGGCAACACAGAGACAAACAGGACATACAACCATTTAGAGAAGCCAATTAACCTAACATGTAATCTGTGAGAAATGTTATTTCCTGTCATCCAACCAAATGACCACTTTTTATTGTTATAGTTCATAGGTTTTCCAGACTAATGCTATAAGATTATTGGTATTCTCTGTATTATACACATTCCTACCCAGGCTAAATACTCATAGGTGGATTAATGACCGGGCCTACCGGGCCCAGGCCCAGGGGGCCAGAGGCCCCAAGGGGCCAGGTCAACTTGGCCCCGCGGCCACGATCCATAGACGGTCAGAGGCCCCAAGGGGCCAGGCCAACTTGGCCCCGCGGCCACGACCAACAGAAGGCCAGAGGCCCCAAAGGGCCAGGCCAACTTGGCCCCGCGGCCGCAAGCCACAGAAGGCCAGAGGCCCCAAGGGGCCAGGTCAACTTGGCCCCGCGGCCACGATCCATAGAGGGTAAGAGGCCCCAAGGGGCAAGGTCAACTTGGCCCCGCGGCCGTGACCCACAGAGGGCCTGAGGTCCTAAGGGGTCAGGCCAACTTGGCCCCGCGGCCATGATCCATAGAGGGCCAGAGGCCCTGAGGGGTCAGGCCAACTTGGCCCCGATCCATAGAGGGTCAGAGGCCCCAAGGGGCCAGGCCAACTTGGCCCCGCAACCACGACCCACAGAGGCCCCAAGGGGCCAGGCAAAATTGGCCCTGCGGCCATGATCCACAGAGGGCCAGAGGCTCTCAATCATTATTATCAAAGCTAATTCTCAAATTGGATGGATCACACAACCTCACTCACATATTCTTTATCAATTATTAAAGGTTGTTTCTGAATTTTGATCACAGAACTTAATGCAAATATTCTTGATTGATTGACAAAGCTCATTCTCAAATTTTGATTACACAACCTTACTCTGACAAATTATCATTATCAAAAAGCTCTATCTCGAATTTGGATCACAGAATCTCACTCAAGTATTCTTAGCTGTGCCCCTCCCCCATCGAGTCTTTCATAAACCGGTCTGTTCTTTTAGAATCTCCTCATTTGGTATTTTGAACTCGTGAGAGACTGCTCAAAATTTGGTTTCCTTTCCCTCAGTTCAGACTCAGAGATAATTTGAAATCATTCAACAAGAAGTTTAACGCGCGCACACACACACACACACACACACTTGAGTTGAGCATTACTTGGAAATTCTTATATTTTCCATTTTGCTGTTACTATCAGCATCTTCCCATTTTGTCCTTTTCTTTCGAAAAAGTTTACAGTCTGACATTTGTCACTGCTGTCAGTTAATAACTTTTTGGTCTTTGACCCATTTTGTCGTTTTCTCGATTCGATCGTCACTGACCACTCTCTCTTGTCTGGCAGACATCGTTGCTGCCATCATAGCTAGCAAGCTGCCTGCAGATAGCAACATTTTGGTGTCCTTTGTGAAAATATTTAGATAGAAGACAAAAGTGCACAAAGTTGTACAATTATTATCTTTTCAAAATATTTGTTTCACTGTCAGTGTGATTGACCGACTTTGCCGCTAGATTTCGTGTCTTTTGGCCATACCTGGCTAGCGACTATAAACATCATTTAGCCACTTTTTGGTTGTGAAGATAAGTGGTAAAAGCAGATCTGCCTGTTGGTCTTCCCACATTTTGCCATTTGGTACTTTGCACTCTTGTTGGTCACTCCAAGGCATTTGTCCCTGCCTTCAGCTAGTCACTTGGCTCTTTTGGAATATATTTCACTGTAATTGGCTCTCTCTCTCTTTCTCCTCAGTACAAATCAGTCTGTTCCCTTGCCATTTAGACATTTTCTTGATTCGATCATTACTGACCACTCTGCTCTCCTGCTGTCTATCAGACGAATCAGTTGATTCTCTGCTCTCAATTGTCTATCCTAGTAAGCTGTTATTCTCTGCTTTGGAGTGTTGATGCTGGGTTGCTAGTTTTCTAAATCACCTCACACACTTGAAGGAAGCAGCACCGATCATAAACACACAAACAAACTCACACACACACACACACACACACATAGTTGGTTTATCTGTTGTGATAGGCAAAGAGCCAATGTGCAAAGAAATAAGGGAAATATGGATCATAAACGTTTAAGTGGAGGAGCTAGAAAAAAAATTCAGCAGGAAAAGAAAAAAAAGGAATCAGTTTTACTTGAGAGTGTTCCAAATATCTCCAGCTTCTTCAGTACAAAGACATCTGCTGAAAGCAATTCTATAAATGCTACTGCAAATTCAGCTAAGGTTAGCAATGCACCTGAGCTAGCATGTAGCTCCCAAGATCCTGAGACCACTACAAGTGTAGACACTGAACCAAATGCTTCTGATGCTTATGATTCAACCAATTCAGCAGTAGCCAGTTGCTCGGATGAATGTGAGGTCACTGCACCTCTGGACAGCATAGAAAATGAGCTGAATCTTTTTTCAACACCATCTACAGTGACAACTCTACCTAGTGATCCCGCTAAATGGGCTGAGACCCTCACTGAGTCAATGAAGGAAGTTCTTATTCAAAGAGGTGCAAAATCATTTCACAACCGTCACAGCCATTATCCAGCTTCTGTGAGGAACAGTGGGCTAGGAGGCAAAACCCGATGCCTAAACAATGAACATTTTACTTCACACTTGCCCAATGGACAACGAGTACAAAGAGAGTGGCTGATGTACTCTCCCTCTACTGGTAATGTTTACTGCTTTGCATGCAAACTGTTTTCCCCAAAAACACATTCTTTTGTGACAGGCTATTGTGATTGGAAACACTCAGAAAGATTTGGTGAACATGAGCGAAGTGCTGAGTAGGGCTGCAACTAACGACTATTTTGATAGTCGACTAGTCAGCGACTATTGAAACGATTAGTCGACTAATCGGATAATTATTACTTTTTTCTAAATTCAGAATGAAGTTGATTTAATTATGTGGCACATGATAATGAACACAAAAAAGGTGGTTACAATGAAAACAACTTATTTTATTGCACATACTGTGGATTTTTACAAAAATTAAATAAAAATGTCCTAACTTCAATTAGGCACAGTGCTCAGTCAACAGAGACGTAAAATTTATAAATAAATAAACCTCTGTCCATTTTTTAGGGACAGGCAAATAAATGATTAATAAATTAAAATCAAATAAACATTTTTTTCCCCTGTAAACCAAGAACAGGCTCATTAGCAGCAGCAAAACATTAAATAAAACAAAGATGTGCATTTTGTGAAGTACATTCAGTGGTCAACTTTCTGTTGCAAAAGAACTTTACAATTCTCAACAGTCTGAAATCTAACGGTATTAACAACTAACATTAGTAGATACAGCTGAAAATAAGCATTCAGAGCTGTCTTTACTTAAGTTGTAAACATGGGCTGTGTGATATAACTTTAACACAAACTTGTCATGGTGGACAGACCAGGTTTAAAATCAAGATGAGGCTCAGGATATGTTGTTCAGTTTATTTATACTAAGAAAAGTCAGCATATCAACATGGTCCCGTGTGAGACTTGCTCTCTTCTGCGAGCAGATATTTCCTGCTGCTGAGAAGATTCGCTCTGCTGGGGTGGATGTTGCAGGAATGCACAAAAGGGATCTTGCTACATTGGACAGTGTGGGAAAACGGCCCTCATTTTCTCTCCACCAGCTGAGCGGATCATCCTTTTTGCCTATTGGTGCCTCTGTGAAGAACAGCTGAACTTCCCTCCTCACCATTTGGATTTTTTGGTCCTCCTGGGTCTCCTCCTCTTCCTCACTCCGGCTGTCAGTGTCGGACTGAAGAAGGTTATCCAGCGCTGACTTTACCCCTGAGACATTGCCCCTCCTCTTCAGCTGTAGCTCAGGGTCACCATGTATCCCAGTCTCAGCCTTAGCTTCTTTTATGGCAAGAACTTCAATTGTGCTTTGCACCCTTGTGCCATCTTCAGGGGAGATAAACTTCATCTTTCGAAATCTTGGGTCGATGGCAGCTGCAAGAACAAGTGGGTTGTCTCTCTCTGCAGACACAGTGTTAAGATTCTCCCACCTCTCACTTATTCCCTTTCCTGCAATTGCTCGAAAGGCTTTTCCTGAACTCGTCTCAAACTGTGTTTGCTGTATGGACCGTTGCAGACCTTTAACCAGCTGTGGAAGACATGAAGCAGTAGCATACTCCTGTCCACTGAGGAAAACAGTTGCACATTCAAAAGGCCCCAACCCTTGCACCAGCTCTTCAAGTAGCACCCACTGCTCTGGTTTGAGGTCACAGTAGTGCTTGCCTCTAGGTGTTACCTCAGGGTCAGAGAGGGTCGCTGTGACTGGCCATCGCTGCTCCAGGAGTCTCTCCATCATGTAGTATGTGCTATTCCATCGCGTATTTACTTCCTGGATCAGCTTGTGCTCTGCTGTGTTCATTTGCTGCTGCTCCTTCTTCAGTTTTGAATTCGCCAGCTCACTTCTCCTAAAGTGCTCCACTAAGTTTCTTGCTGCACCGGTGGCTTTGTTGATGCTGGGCTCTTTGAGGGCACTGTTAACAATAACTTGGAGAGTGTGCCCAGCACAGCGCAGAGAAAACCAACCATGTTTTTCTTCCAGCAGTCTCT